AGAAAACACTTCTGTGGCCTTCAACATATTAACGACGTTTTATCAATTAACAATAGTTACTTCCATTCATATGTCGTCTGGATATATACCAGTGAACTTGAAATTAAAGACAACACAGAGTCTGCTATATATATTTCATATTTGAATGTTTTTCTGACAATAGATGATAACATAATTGTAAGACGAAAGAGATAACTTCAGCTTTTCCATCGTCAACTTTGCTTATTTATATACTACCTTCCGCTATTACCTGCATACGATGTTTACGTCTCCCAGCTTATTCGATACTCAAGAGCATGCTCTGAGTACAATCAATTTTTAAATCGAGGCAGGCTATTGACAGATAAGTTGATGTTACAGGGATTTCAACAATCTCGTTTGAAGTTAGCATTTCGTATATTCTATGGTCGTTATAATGACCTAGTCATACAATTATAACCTATCATTGTGTCGTATTTTGGCTGACGTGTTTTTTACCAATTGTTACGCCTTTGTTTTTATACTAAATGTGACAGCGGAATGTTCCGTCTAGCTGATCAATACATAGGTCTCACGACGGTTGTGACAGGTCATCAGGGATGCTTACTCCTCCTAGACACATGATCCTACCTCTGGAATTTCCGTGGGTCCGTGCTTTATGCCCATTTCACAGATTTTTTGTTCGTCGATTTCTTTGAGATCGATCACTATTCGTCACTTCACCTTTTCCAGAATAATAATAGACTAACAATTGGTATGACAAAAATAGGGTGCAACTAATCACCATAAAGTCCATTGAAATTGCCAAATGGCGACTTTTAAATGAGCTTGTTTAATGCTATATAACATCAATTCATCTGTTAAAAGCTTGCCTTGGGTTAAAAAATTAATCAAACTCAGAAAATGCTTTTTTATACATGCACCGAATCAGTTGCAGGAAATAAACAAGAAATGCAGAAGATAATGGAACATAACGACTTTATGATGGAAAATTTAAGTCATACCGTTGTTAGTTTGCCAATAACCTCTATATTCAGTAAAACTGATGTAACTGACCCTGTGGTGTCATTTATTTCTAGTTCACATGGTTATATCGTTTTTTGAATAAAAATAATTATTGTTGATTGTTGAAACGTTATCGATATTGCCGAATTGAAGGTCATAACAAGAAATTTCTTCTTCTCATGTAGAATATTTGAAAATAATTTCTGCTTCATAGAGATATAGATACAGATAAGTATTGTTAAGATAAAATTGACTAAAATTGATTAAAATTCAACTATTGTTGAAGAAAAAACGTCGTCGATATTATCAAATTGAAAAACTCATCACATTTTCTTTTTCTCATGTAGACATATTTTTATAAATTCTGCTTCAAATAAATATAAGAGAACTTGATGGCTAATGAAAGAAAACAATTAAAGTCCATCGGAATTCCGACAGATTGTTTAGAGACATGGTCTGTAAACAGTACATAGGTATAGACAATGAAGTACACAGGTATAGACAATGAAGTACACAGGTATACACAATGAAGTACATAGATATAGACAATGAAGTACTCTATTCCTTTTAAATATAACTTCAGAGTATTTGAGTAAAGAATCGGAATGAATTTGAAAATTTTGTAAATGACCAGTCAAAGGTAGGAAAATTTCTTGTTTAATTTTTAGTTAAAAAAATCCACACTATACAAACAATGAACTGAAATTCCACTACTTCCTCGGAGTTCGCCGCTTTCCATCTTCTCTCGCAGTTCGTGGCACCTGACGTTGACTGGAAATCAGGAAAATTTGTTGTTAGATTAGAATAGAATGGAAAAGAGTCTTTCTTTCGATGACCATAGATGTGTATTCAATATGGATTATAACGGGCGTACAGATTCGTATAGTGAGCTTTAAAAGAGTTTCCAATTCGATATGCAGAATTATTTTGACCTGCAGTATTTTATAGAGATGAGAACCATCGAATCTTCTCATAAGTACTCTGTAGAAACTGGTAAGCTATGTTGCTTACTGCGATAGCCAAAGTAACTCATTTATTTGTTTGACTGTACAGTTTATAACCATATCAAAATTCAATCATTTAAAGGACTTTAATATCTAAATAATTTTTATTTATGGACAACTGTATGTATCTCAAAACTTATAGATATAAAAATATATTTTTTGATACATTTAAAACTTTTATTCATAAAATAAGCTGGAGTAGACAATTACCATTGCGTAATTCTAAAATTCATTTTTAAACACCAACTTAATTTAAATTATTGTGAATTCTGCCTCAGAAATTCGCCAAAGGTTGCACTACAGTATTAAATTTTGCTAGATAGTCTTACCAAAAATGCACAACTTTAAGTAGGTGGTCTTAATTTGAAACTAACTTGTTAAAAGTTTCCTTTTAAGATCTTGTAAAACAATTCTTCATAATTATTTTAGTATCAAGAAACAAATAGCCAGCCATCCAGCAATGCAAACAAGTTTGTTGCGGTCGATGTCGAACAGGTGCTTGGAAATCACGTACGCGTGCAGGACCTAATCAACCCCTCCCCCCCCCCCCCCCCCCCACCAATACAGTCTATAAAAAAATTAGCACGTCCTAAATTTTAATGAATTAGGTTAATACAGAAAATTTACATACATTTTTCACCTTATAAAACAATTCAGCTCCAGTCTCGTTCAAAAATGCCCGAATCGGGAGTGGAGATTCGGGAATTATTTTGCATCAGCCATGTTTTGACGTGAATCTCAACTGAAAATGCTGTTATGACACCTGCATCATTGTACTGTAACAACCCATAATTTTAATGAGCAGACAGTTATTAAAAAATGTTAAACCATAATGATTGCAATATTGGTGATTGTACAGCAAGGGTTTTGGTGAAATAAAACATAGGTAATAAAAGATTACGAAGCTCACCTTGACGGGCATGACCTAGATGAAAGTTGAAGTCTCACACCAAATGAATGCTCTGGTAATGTGAATCCCTGGTTTGCAGTTTTGATCTGGATAGGACTTATAGTTATATTGGAAAGGGTCTGCTCCAAAAACTTCAATTTTAATTTTCTATTCAATCATCCTGAAAATGTAGGTAAGATCCAGCATCAAAGGCAAACCTGGTAATGTGCATCTCTATTGGGATGTTTCATGAATGCAGGTTTAAGGCTCAAATATTGGGACTGGACATGCTATAAAACTTTTAATCTGTTTATACATATAAAGAAAAAAATGGATCAGATCCAACATCCAGCATCATTCAAACATGTTTGGTCACCATGGATACAAGTGTTTCATTGAGTGTTTCAACTCAAAACTCCACAAATAGTAACATAAATTGAACTTTCGACATTTGTGAGCAATACCATCAATCGTCAGTATATTCTTCGTATCATTAGATTTTGTTTCTTCAAAACTAAAAAGGATATGTCATTGCATTAGGGTTTTTTTTTTTGTTCTTTGAGTTTTAAAGGACAATGCCTTCAGAATATGACTTCATTATGTGTGTCGGTTGAAACCTCTCATGGGTACTAAGTATCTTTTAGTTAGTTAGCTTAAACCTTCTTTGTATGAAAAAACTAACCTCTTTGTATTTTCACTGTCTCACATAAAAACGCTACGCGCATTGATGAAAAAAGTTTTGCGTCCAAGTGATACATTGATCAAGGAAAAAATTATAAGATTTATTTTTTATCTTTTAATGTTTATCTTTCAATGATGAGATTAAACATGAAAACAAATGATTCCCGAACATATACTGCTAAACTTTGACAGTATATGACGTAGCTAAATATTCATAAGCGGAGTAATACACAACGATCAACGTTCACATTTAAACAATAACACAAAAATGACTTACCAGTTATACTATTAACCTGTGTTATATTCCGTTAGGTATATATGTACGTAGAACTTTTCCAGGTAAGCTGCAGATATTTTAAGGTTCGTAAATGTAAGGGAAACTACTCCAAATAACCCTGAGAACTCTCTTTAGGTCACCGAAATTTTGAATTTCATTTGCGCATCTCATCCTCTGAATTTCAATCCCAACTTATATAAAAGTATCATAAATTGTCCATGCATAACGTAAAATCTGAAAGAGTCCTACTGCCGAGTGTTCAACATTGAGAAAATTACGTCCTGACTAACTGTCGTTTTTCTCACGATTTCGTTTCCTAAGAATTAACAGATAAACGTCATTTCCCCGCTTTGGAGGCATAAAAACATTTCTTCACAGTTCTATTGTTCATACCAGTTATCTCAAAGACAAACATTTAAAAATATGTATGACGATTTCTTTCTTTCTCGTAACTGCGTTATTGTCAGGCAGACGATCTGATCTGTTTAGCAAAGGGGGATAGTTCGAAAGGAAACGAAAGGAGAAAATAACTCATGAACGTATCGGACAAGTCTTGAAATTCAGGAAAATATGGTAAAAATATTTCATTTTTTTTCCACAAAGTACTCTGGAAGGGTAAATATGCAGAGTCAGCCAAAGTAGTTCTGACTGCTAAGTGTAAGTGAACTCCAGATTCTATTGCTGCAGTTATCAAAAGAATTTTTTATCCAATCAGAATCAATTATTTTATAGAAATTTAATTATATTAAAATCAAATTAAATATATCCTCTATCAACTTTTGCTTGATTGACAACTAGCAAGTTGATTGACATTAGCATGTTTATTCATTAGCAAAAATGTATGCATTTCAACATTGATCAATAATATTGTATACGATGTCCTTTTGCAAAGTTACATGTATGTTTTTTTTAATCATAATTTGCAAAATGTACGAGCCAATATAAAAAAAAAAGTTTATTGACAAGCTATTGAAAATAAGTCCTATTAACATTGGGGTAGGAATTTCTCATTTTCAGATCTCTCCCTTTTGTATTTTTATATTAGGGGACTATATTCAAGATAAATCTTTCGTGCAATCACCAGGGGTACGACAATATGCCTAACGTTTCTTGTTATTATTTACCTAAGTGACTCTCCATACAACATGTTGAATTGACCTGTAAACAAAATGTCTCGCGCCAAGTCCTCGTGGAAAAAGGTTCTTCTTATTGGTGATTCTCTAACACAGGTATGACTTTAATTAAAATAATAATGATGAATTAATGTGTTGTGTTTATAATTCTGTGAATGATTATAATGCAGTAATTGCACACAGGTACCGTTATACCTCCCCCCGGAAACGTATGAAAAATATAAAGATGAAAACTTTTACATGTTAACTACAATTTTCACATGGTCAAGTACTTTATCTACAGGAAATATCCGCTATGTTATGTTTTGGTCGCTCCATAAGTTACACCTCGCCTGCTCAGTAAACGGGTTTAAAAGAAAAGTGAAAATACGTACACTACGGAAAACCGATAAGGTCATCAAAAAAAATAATCTACATTTCTGCTTTATTTCTTATGAAATCCACGGTTAATGATACAGTATTTAATGCATTTAAACGTACTTTATCTAATTATTTATACACACAAAAATATAAACAATAAAATGTTTTTCTTCGTTTGTTTGTAAGGGAATTGAACTGCTATTGCAGAATAAAAAAATATATACCTTGCTTACGTTAATCTCATTTTGTCCGTCATTCGTCAGACCATCCATCTATCTGTAAACTTCTCACATTTTTGATCTCATCTCAAGAACCACTAGGCCAATTTCAACCAAATTTGCCACAAAGCATCCTTGGGTGCACGCGACTGTTAAAACAGGAATTAACTTTCACAAATTGACCAATTATCGAAATAGTATCAGCCAGGAGAATTTTAATTATCTCCAGATTAACTAAATTAGATATCTCGAAACCCTACCATAGCAAGGATCTCTTTTGTGAAATGAACCTTGACTACATAGACTTCAAATATTTCTCGGAAAGATACGAATGTACATGTTTAGTCGTAAAAGTGTATTTTTAGGTAAAGTGGGTCTTTGCGCCATGATTTGTTAACAGAAATATGAAGTTTTACGCATACCTTGAGTATAACCTTTCAAAAAAAAAAAAAAATGGAACGAGGACCTACTCTTATGGAAAAATTCTGATATATTATGAAAATAGTTCATTTTTTTGCCCGCTTTGGTGTGTATATGCTATTTCAAAAGACGAGAAATTTCAATCCTTGAGATTATTGCAAATTGTGGAGATTTTAAATGAAGTAAACGCTAAATGTTAAATGAAATATCAAAGAAAATTTTGTCACCACTGAGATTTAAATTTTTCACTTTCTTGTTTGCCACACAGTGGGTATTTTGCTCGCCTTGTACGACCATCTTCTTTGCTGCGTTTGTTTAAATAAGAAAAAGACATTTACCTGTTTTTAAAACAATACTACCTATAATACAAGTATGCTTAAGTCAGTGGAGAGGCAAAATGACTTCGAGCTTTCAGTTCCAAAGAAAAATGCCCTATTGGAATATGTACACCAAGAACAGATCACTGCCATATTATGTATTCTGTGAGAGAAAGAGTTTAAACCAATATAATAGATATATTATAAAGAATTTTGCGGAATGTTTATATAAGATTTTTAGCTCACTTGAGCGAAGTTGGGTGAGCTTAATGTAATACTCTCGACATCGGCATCCCAGGTAATTTTTTTGGAGCAGATTTATTTCCAAGTACTCTACATGAATCAGAGATGCATGGATAATGCTTCTAGTATGTTTCATTGTATCAGTATGTGTCAGGTTTCAGATGCTGCATTTGCAGCCAAAGAACGACCAGGTAAATGATTTTGGAGCAGTTTAAAGTTTTTGAAGCAGGTTTCATTCCCAAGTAACTATGAGCCGTATATTGACCAAACTTGAATGGATGATACACCTTAGGGTGTTCACTACCAGACCTGCTTCGGTTGCTGAACCTGAACAAGTTAAAGTTTTTGGAGCAGGCTCAATCTAAAGAATGTATAAAGCTTATTTTGACCAAACTGCATGGATGATACATCTAAGGGTGCACACTACCAAATTTGCTTCAGATGCTGGATCTGACCTAAATTTTACGAATGAGTGACCAGGTTAAAGTTTTTAGAGCAGGTTTATTACCAAGAACTATAAGACTTACCTCGACCAAACTTGCATGGGTGATGTATCGATTTAGTATGTTCTTTACTAGACTTTTCTTTAAACAATATTTTATTCACAGAAGTGAATGGGATTAGGCAGCAGGCTCAGATTGTAGCCCTCTCCCTACATCAAAGTCAAGGTGAATACATAATTTTTTTATATCAAATAAGCAAAGCAAAAAAGTAAAAATGTACAAAAGAAGGAAAAAACGAGAAATAAAAAGGAAGCAAAACTACAGAGAAAAATGAGCAAAATTACAATGAAGTACCGATTTGAAAATTTTAAAAAATGTTACAATAACATATGTATGACAGTGTTATATAAATCGTTTTGTTGTTGCATTTTATATATTATATATTGATTGATAAAGTACATCTCTTTGAATTGTATATTTTGGACATACACAACAGTAATAGTAGTCATCTTCAACAGAGGCAGTAGCCGCAGTACAACGTTCACACATTCATTTGGAGTTTCTGATAAACATTGGTTATATAAATCTGACATCAAAGTATTATTCCTTATCTGACAATGTATTATATTACATTTTCTTATTCCAACATAAAAATGTTCATTACTTTTTCTACAAAAGTAAGATTTCAAATAACTCTTGAATGAAGGTATTCCAGGAGCATTTTTAATATGATCTGGCAAGATATTCCATCGTGTGACTGTTGAGGGAAGAAAACTTTCCATATAAGATGTTGTTCTTATGTTAGGACTTTTGAATTGTACAATGTTGGTTCTGAGATTGTATGAATGAAGTGATGGGCGATAAGGTTCAATCAAGCTTCTTTTCTGGACTTGTTCTGATGCTGGATCTGACCTACATTTTCCGGATGAGTTCGAGGTCAAGATTTTTGAGCAGGTCTATTTCCAAGTAATTATAAAGCCTACCTGGATCACACTTGTGTGGATGATGTAGCAAGGGATGCACACTACCAGATTTGCTTTGGTTGCTTGATCTATATTTTTCAAATGAGTAACCAGGTTAAAGTCTTTAGAGCAAGTCCATTCCCAAGTAATTGGATGCCCTACCTGCACCAAACTTGCAGATATATTGCACACTACTAGAATATTTGTTTAATGTAATATTTTGCCTTACTAAAAGATAAATTCGTTGAGGTGAGCTATGTAATCTTTGATTACCTTTGTTTTATAGTAAGATCAGTAAAATGTATGTTTACGACCAATTTATGTATGCTAAGGGGCCAACAATTTCATGTTCAATTGCAGTTTGGTTTTTCAAAAGATGGCTGTTACGCGTCTCTGCTGGCCGACTACCTTCAAAGGTAAAATATGTAAGCGAAAAAAAGTAATAATAAGTTATTCTATAATCGTCCATATAATTTTATTTATTACATTTCCTGACCTGTAAATTAACAAGTATACTTTTAAATTATTTTAGAAAATGTGACGTCATAAGTCGAGGATTTTCAGGATACAATTCTAAATGGTGTAAAATCATTTTACCAGACATCTTGAAAGAATTTAATCCAGAGGACATTGCCTTAGCAACAATTTTTCTTGGAGCCAATGACTCCAACCTTCCGGAGAACAAAAGACAACATGTTCCCTTAGCGGATTACAAACAGGATCTAAAGGATATGGTTGATATGATGATGGTAAGGCTGATGCCTTACTGTTGGCGCAATTAGGAAATAGTGCTTTTTGTTTATGCATGTCTTTATTTAAAATTTACATGTTACATTTAATGAATAATTTCTATATTATTTCTGATGTTAGTCGATTGCTCTTTATCTGAAGCAATAAACACAAGTGACTTCTTTAATAGTGTATATCAAATTTATTAATGTAAATGCATGAATTCAGTTTGAATTGATTATTTTCTTTCATTTTCTTTTTTTCAATAAGAAAATAGGAATTCCGAAAGAAAGAATTGTTTTGATATCACCACCTGCATGTGATGAAAAGGCATGGAAGAAATACTGCTTGGAAAATAGTAGGTGTATAAATATGTATCACACTAGATGTAAAACATGTTAAATATATAAAAGACATTGTCATTCTTAATGTAAAAACACATGAACCTGCACGCACATTTTGAAAAATCTTAGCAATTGTGATTAATCGTTGAAAGAAAACAAATTCACTCTTGGAAAAAAAAACAAACATAAATCTCATTTTATTTTTTAAAATTTATTTTGAGTTTCACAGAGATCTAAAGTTTGAATGGAAAATTGATTTAAATATTTAAATATTTAGCTTGATGTAACTAAGTGATTAAAAATAAATGAAAATATCAAAAATCTTGTCAACTTCTGAAATTAATTCGATATCTAACTATAAAACATTGAATATCATTTTTTTTTTACATCACATTTTTACTTACTGTTGGAAATAATGCAAGTCTCTTTTTGATTTTGGTAGACAAAGATTTTACCAAATGTAATCTTACAACGGGAAAGTATGCTGACGCCTGCTTAGATGCCGCTAAGGAGTGTGGCACCAAATCGGTGGATTTATATGGAAACATGATGAAACGTGATGTATGCATATAATTTTGTTTCTTTCGAAATATCACTGATAGTAAATATATATATATATATATATATATATATATATATATATATATATATATATATTAAGCACTAAAAATGACCAACTACAGGAACAATAATAATTGTCAAATTTTTGGGACGACCTGTCCCTTCCTCAGGACAAAGAAAAAAGTTAAGAAGTCACAAAAACAAAGGAAATAAAGAAACAAAAACAACTAGCACTACTTCTAAACTACCAAACACTAAATATTTACAGTATTACATGTTTAAATTGAAATTTATAAACAGTTGTGAACAAAGAAATCCGGAGCGCTATGAATTGCGTCCGATCTATAGGGTGTACTCTGGTGAAGTGCGATTTACATAATTGAACGAATTAATTATCGCTAATTAATTACGACCAAGAAGTAAATCGTACATTGTCTTATTCTCTCATAATAGCGTAACTATACATGACAAAAAGAAATTAAAGATAATACGAAGGGCACCACATACCATCCCGTCCTTAAGAACCTCAGCGGTATCCTTCAAAAGAACCTGCCAATTCTCCACTCAAATAAACGAATGGCAGAGGTCTCTAAGGAGCCCCCATTGGCTGCATACAGACGCCCGAGGAACCTTAAGGACATGGTAGTAAGGACCAGATTGGACAATCCATTACCCAACGGGGGCTTTAAAACTTGCTCTGAAGAAGATGTCTTCTGCATGTGTATGTAAGCACAGCTCTGACACAGACAGCTTTAACAGCCCTGTTACAGGCCGCAGCTACAAAATACTAGGGAATTTGTCCTGTCAAACAGACAACTGCATTTATCTCATCAGTTGCAAAGTTTGCTCCAAACAGTATGTTGGTGAAACAGCAGATCTCCGCAGGAGAGTCAATAATCACCGTTCTACCATTAGGACCAAAAAACTCAATGAACCCGTTGGGGAACATTTCAACCTTGAAGGTCACAAATGGGAGGACATGACAGTAGTGGTTATTGACCATAATCCAAGATGGACAGACACTCAGAGAAAAGGCAAAGAAAAGTTCTGGATGCACAGGCTGAAGTCATTCCGCCCTAATAGTATTAACAAACTTAATGACTTCACCAGGATGAACGTGAACTAGACCCAATCCCGGATTGTAACAAACAAGTTCATTCTCTCTATATAGTGTAAACTTTACCGTTAATTCGCATAAGCAATTCTGGAACAACCTACCCAAATATTTACAGCTTACATTTTTTTTTATTTCTTATTTCTTTTATCAGATTTCCAAATTTATAATATATCCAAATTCATATTTTAAAATTGCCCTTCCGTATTATCTTTAATTTCTTTTTGTCATGTATAGTTACGATATTTTGAGAGAATAAAGACGATGTACGATTTACTGCTTGGTCGTAATTAATTAGCGATAATTAATTCGTTCAATTATGTAAATCGCACTTCACCAGAGTACACCCGATAGACCGGACGCAATTCATAGCGCTCCGGATTTCTTTGTTCACAACTGTTTATAAATTTCAATTTAAACATGTAATACTGTAAATATTTAGTGTTTGGTAGTTTAGTAGTAGTGCTAGTTGTTTTTGTTTCTTTATTTCCTTTGTTTTTATGACTTCTTAACTTTTTTTTCTTTGTCCTGAGGAAGGGACAGGTCGTCCCGAAAATTTGACAATTATTATTGTTCCTGTCGTTGGTCATTTTTAGTGCTTTATATAAATTTCCATCCGTGACCTTGTATCTACTTAGTAGATCCGACACTTAGGATATACAGTGTTGTTGGTTTTTAGTGCGTTATATATATATATATATATATATATATATATATATATATATATATATATATATATATATATAGCTTTGTTTATGTTGTATTATATTTCTTTACTGGGCAGGATTGGCAGGATGCACTCTGTGATGGACTCCATTTGTCAGCGGTAGGGTCCCTCCTGTTGTTTAAGCTTCTGAAGCTTGCTGTGGACCAAACGACGTCTGACCTTCCTTTAGTTTTCCCAAACTTTAATGATGTGGATATTGAGGATCTACATGGTTGTTTAAAACCTTTTCCTCAGTGATGGAGTTATTTGCATCAGCATGCAAGTTATAAGGGAACTTTAATAAAGGAATATGTCGAATTGTAAATCCACAAATTTATGTGTTGGATAAAAATCAAAATGATAAATTTACTTCAATGTTTATATTTGATATAATTCTTTAATCAATATTAGAACTTAAATACCTCATAAGACTTGATTTTTTGTGTGTGTGAAAAAAGTGGAAAGTGCATATATAAATATATGTGATGTTTCTCATTTATTCCAAGTTCTCTGATTAGCTCGAACATGATCAAGTATATATATGATCACATGATCAAGTATATATTGTATTACTATTTAGAGATCTTGACACACACATAATGACTTAATATTTCTAGGCGTCTCCATATGAGTGAAAAATTCTCGAGAGGGACTTAAACAACAAACAAACAAACAAACAAATAATATTTCTAAAAATTGAAATAATATTCTGTAAAACAACAACAGTGCTGACTTCACAATAGCTAATGCAGTGTATGAATTGATGTTTCTGACAAAAAAATTATACTTCAACTCCTATTTATAATTGTGATATTCTGCAAGAATTCATAAGACGTAACATTGCCTTTTTATATTAAAATATATATATATTAGATATGTTTTAATATGAATTGATACGAAACATAAAAAAACAAATGTAGATTGTAGAATCTTAGATTAGTGAATTCCCTGAATGACTCTATCAGTATAAAGGAAACACAATTACATTAAACAACTTAATTTATTTTGATCTTTAGTCTCTGTGTTAAAAAAAACAAGAGAGAAATATTGTTAAATGTTCCATTTTTTCAAATTTCATTTTGTCAGTCTCTGTAAAAAATAATATAACAAATGTAGCACTTTCATTCGGCCAATTCATAGATATATCGACTTCACAGAAAAGCTTATAGACCTCGCACTTCGTGCTTTTCGAGATTATAATTTATGATTGTCAGAATCGTTTTGTGTTTTCTATTTTGTAAACTACTCTAAACAAAAAAAGTTATATATATTTCGATTTTAAAATCGCTTAAAGATTATGAGTGCGAACTTTTATTAAGCAAATTAAAATGAGGTTGCAATGTTCCTGGTTTAACATTCTAAGGGACTATGGACTAATTAAGATCACAAAATTAAATAGACGCTTATTATTGATTCGTTTAAACATAAAAAAACTAAAGCTACTTTTTTCTCAATTTCATTCTCTGTAAAGAAGACATGGACAGCAGGGGACTTTAAAAGCAGTAATTTATTTACACAATGAAGGCCTCAAAGGTTCGAATTCAACATCAATTATTAAACATTGCACTCTGTTAACCCTACAAACTAAGTATGAAGTTTTCTTGGTGAATTTAATGATTTCTTAAACATGACATCAAATGTTAAATACAAACATTATGTTATTTATCCTCAGAGAAATGCCAGCTTTCTGACAGTGATAATGAAAATTTACAGCCGTCTTGTCAGTGGACTTTTCCTCTCTGCTTTTCTCACATCAGTATGGTCTCTTTCAAATTTTTACGACAAATTCAATCTTGGCAAACGCCTGATTGGTCATACTCTTTTTAACATGACAGTCAGGGGCCCCCAGATGTGCATTGAAGAATGTAAATCCCGGAAACTCTGTATGTCTGTCAATTTTAATAAACGGTTGATGATTTGTGAGTTGCGGACATCCACCGCCAACAAGTTTCCAGGAGAACTGGTGGACGACCCTAATTTCGACTATCTTGACGCCGGAATAGTTAGCTACGTGAGTACCATAATTTTCCAGAGAAAAATATGGTTATTGTTTTTTATTCAAGTATTTGCATGGTTCCATTACTTCAGGTGATAGACAACATCTCTTTTTCCCCCTTCGCATTTATATACTTAAATTAGATAATGGCTATGGCTAATGTTATTTAAAGAAAATATTGATGAAGAGAATGATATTTTTAAAATTGTAAAAAGTAAAATGTAATTTCGAATAAGAATACTAATAGATGTAATTTGTATCAACGTTAAACACAAAAAGTAACACTCTCCTTTGGATTTCAAAATTTATAAATTTGCTTTTCCCCTAAATGACAAAACAAATTTAAGGAGGTCAAAATTTTTCGAAGTTGACTTGTGCCGCAAATTAAGAACACTTTTCTACTAACTAAATGCATGAGATTTACTGCTTGCTTGTAAAGCGATGAATTGTACATTTGAAATTACAAATTATAAAACATATGAGTCGCCCTCAGATTAAATTATATCTTGACACAAAGGCAGAAATCACCGAAAGGTAGTTCTATATGAAAAGAAACATTGTTAAAAAATACAAAACATTTCTGTAAAGTTCATACTTGTATATAAGATGAAAAAGAACAAGCTACAGGATTCCGCTAGTAACCAAACTATTTCGAAAGTTCTAAATAACCTCCTCGAATTAAAATTGATGTGCGTCAGAGATGAAACAGCTTATTTCTGTAGAAAACCAGATTGAAGTCAACGTATTATTTTATTTTTGATACACCCCCAACCCCCCTCATTTTTGTCAGACTTGCTTTTGTATAAATACAGAGTGTGATACATCACTTTCATATTTCGATATTCAACTTGAAGAAGACGTTAATGGTAACCTAACAACAAAACTTTATTATAATAAACGTGATTACTTCAATTTTTCTATCGTCAACTCTCCTTATTTATGTAGCAATGTACCATTATTACCCGCATATGGAGTTATGTCTCAAATTTGATTCTATACGCAACAGCATGTCCTACGTACAAACAATATTTAAAACAAGGTAAGCTATTGACAAAAAAGTTGATGATACAAGAATATCAACAGTTTCGTTTAAAAGTCAACATTTCGCAAATTCTATGCTCGATACAATGACCTTGTCAGCAAATACATTCTATCATTACGCCGAAAGTTGATTGATGTTTTTCAAATAAATTATAAGGTCATTATTTTCACCTAAATTGTCTACGATTTATCTGTTTGTCCGATCATGACAAGGAGCACACGGCGGCTGTGACAGGTCAACAGGGGATGCTTACTCCTCCATGAGCACCTGATCCCACTTCTGATGTTTTCACAGGTCCGTGTTTGCTCTGTTCCAAATTTGTATTTTTTCAATGGACTTTTGAGCTTAATTACAGTTAGTTATCTACATATTTCAGACGATTATTTGTAACATAATACATGAACATATTTGTATATACTGCATTCAAATATCAATTTGTTTATAAGAATAAATGAATGAATATTAAGAAATAAACCTCATCAATTTCTATTTTGTACAAATACTTTATCTAGAGTTCGATGGAGCCCAATTTTGATTACAATGTACATGTAAAACCTTTTTCTTCATTTTAATCAGTACTTTTCTGACCAACTGATTATTCACTACCTGGATTTTCTTTTACATATAAATTATCGTGCGACACAAAAACAGACGCAGAGTCCAACTTCATTTTCAAAATTTAAAATAATGAAACCAACCTTTTCTAATTCAGAAGCCATTTTCACAAAAATTCTTACAATTTTACGGGAGATTTAAACTTAAAAATCGCATTCAAAATGCTTTTTGCAGGAACACATTCTTAACAGATTGAATTTGTTTTCACTTAAGATGATTCTTACTATAGCAATGATACTCAATATGTTTTATAATCCTTAGATGTGTATAAAAAATGGTATTAGATATTAGTTTTCAAAACTGGTAAAAAATACAAAACCAAATCACTGCCCACAAAATTGAGTGCAAACAGTGTGAGGCAAGAATATCAAAAAATCTGCTCTATTGGTGGGTGCTTTAAAAATTTCGATTCAACATATATTTCAATGCTTATCTAATTATTTTTGCATTATAAGGGGTCAGGTAATATTTATGACCAGGGTAGGGCCGTTGCCCCCCCCCCCCCCCCAATGAATAATAATAATAAAAAAACCATCTTCGTCTTATACCTTAAAAAATGAATGTATATGTCTTATCCTTATTTTGTGTGAAAAAAAGTCAAATTGTTATCCATACATGTATAACATAATTAATATTTATCCTTATTTTAGCATCAGTCATCTATAATGGTTGTTAAGATGACTAAGGCTTAAAAATTATAGATCCATTCTTTTGAAAAAAAAAAAAAATAGTACATGTATATTCGTTTCAGAACTAAAATTGTGGGCATTTAAAATGTGATTTTAAATAATATCAACCTCTATATGATGATTGTTTGATTGACTGTATGTTATTTAACATCTCAGATTTTTTCACTCATGTAGAGACGTCACCATATACCGGTGAAGGGGTTCAAATTTCGACCTATACTCGGCACTAAGGGCCTTTGAGCAGTGAGGGGTTTTATTGTGCCAAAGCCTATTGTGACACAGGAACTTGGTTTTTTATGGTCTCATCCGAAAGACACGTGACTTTCACTTCTAGTGCAGGGCGCTTTGCGAAGGATCAGTCACTACCTATGTTTAGTTTAAGGTTTGACGCAGCGAACGGGAATCGAACCCGGGTCTCCCTATCACTGAGCGAAAGCCCTACTACTAAGCTACCGTGACCGATACCTTTAGATGAAAATAGAGGTTGGATCAGGTGACAGGAAGGAGTTAGCATCCTCTGTCGAACGGTCAAACCAACCTTGTCATAATCGGGTAAACGGAAAAATCCGTAGACAATTCAGTCTGAAAAAAATGGTCTAACGATTTATTTAAAATACGTTAGTCAAAATTCAACCTAACGATTGATTGTGTTTGCAAGCAAGGTCATTATACAGACCATGTAATTTGCAAAATGTTGACTTGAAACGAAATAATTGATATTCCTGTATCAACAACTTATTTTATTTTTCATAAGCCTGCCTTGTTTTTAGAAGTTGTTCGTACGTAGAACAGTCTTGTTCTCCATCCTTATTATGCTTGAATACTTGGATAGGATGAGCCATGACACCAGACTAACCTAGAACATTCTCCTGCGTGTTTGTTAAATGGCAGGCATAAATTCCATATGCTGGTGATAATATTAATGTTATATTGCTATATAAATAAGGGAAGTTGGTGATAGAAATATTGAAGTCATTATGAAATGTATGGAGATAACGAACAGTATTCAAGCTCAAAAATCCATTAAACGATACAAATTTTGGAGCAGAGCAAACACGGACCTCTGATTCCATTTATCTTCACCAAGTAAGGAAAAGTTTTTATATAAGAGGTGGTATCAGGTGCCATGTTTATGTTTATCATAAAGTTTAACGTTTGAATAAAGAAAATGAGCTATATTTTAAATTTCCAGGAAGAAAAGAGATACTACAAACCTTGAAAATCTAATCTAATTTTTTAAATGTCTCTTCATTTGTAAATAATATTAATTTCTAGATAATTTGGACAAAAGGAGACTTGAGAATTTTCTTAAGAACTTTTATGAAAATGAAGAATTTTCTTAAGAACTTTTATGAAAAGGAACTTAATTGTAATTTTTCTCTTACATCGAGAATAAACCGCAAGACTTTCTTATATAGAGACCTACAATATTTTTTTATTTACAGAGTACGGGAGACTTATGTTTAAAGGGAAACAACTGTGATCCGGGAAAGCTTTGTATAAGGTTACAGGACGCTAGTCACACGTGTATTTCTGATATAGGTAAGTCAATTCCAAGCAAGGACAACCATAGGGAACGGTAATTTTTTTTTGCTGGATTGATGAAGAATTTCTACGATTTGTGATGCATCAACGAGTTATAAGTCTTATTCAACCAAAAATAAATAAATATGTAAATTTAAAAAAAAATTGACAACTCTGTAATTTCTTTGTTTTATAAAGATACTATTTTTAAAATATATACTGATGTAATAGAAATATGTTTTTGTTCTGAACTACTTTATCTCAGCTACTTTTAGGAGCATGGGGATTTTTTTCTTGTGATTGGTCATCTATAAACTTTGTTTAAAATCAATCAGATTCACACAACTCTGAAGTTGACATTAAGAAGATGCAGAGTTCCTCATAGACAATTATGTTGTCTTTGGAGACCAGGCCAGGCCTAGGTCTTCCGACAATCTGTTGGATCTCTTATGGGTCCTAATTGTGCTCTTCATTAATCGATCGATCTGTTTTGTGTTCTTATTTTTTTTTTTTTAAAAAAAAAACTTCTACATGAAAAGGTGGCGTTCCATTCGACATTTAGAAATATCGATAATGTTTTACCAATTGAAACTTTAATTTTTATTCGTACCTTGATTTGATATATCCCATTGAACTTGAAATTAAGGACATTACAGGGTCTGACACATATGTTTTCATATTTAGATGATTTATTTATTAGAATAATACATTGATTGGAAAACTAACATCTAAACTTGATGATAAACGTGGTGACTTACACTTTTATACGATAATCTTTAACTTTCCTTATTTACGTAGCAATATCTAATATTCAATAACAGAAGTTACCAAATTTATTTCAGTGAACATGATGTTTAAACAACATCTGCTTGTAGACATGCTAAGTGTATATGATACCACAATATATACACAGTTTTACAAGTCTGTGTCCAACCGTTTTGACACTTTCTCTGTTAGATGATCGCTCTCTTTTCCCGGTAGTTATCCTCTGTAGTGACTGTCAATTTGTGTTGCTAATTTACTAGTACAGTTCACATGTTATAATTTTAATATAGCTCACGACAAATGCACCGCTGAGCCCCCATACATACGTGGGACGGCCATTAATGTCACAGACCGAGCAGTAGGGGCAGTCTTAACCTACGAATGTCTACCCGGCTACAACGCGACGGGAGACAACCCAAATACGACGTGTCGTCTGGACGGATCCTGGTCACCTGCCAACCTGACATGTGACAGTATGTTTTTGTCAGTTGTTTATATCTTTAGTACAGTTACTCTCGATATCCAAAACACATTGTCAAGTATTTATGAAAATTAAGACAACATTTATACACATAAATTGGTAAATGTGTAGTTTAGGACGGAATTCGAAGTATCAGGGATAGAAAAAAATATTTGGAATAACTAGTACACGAGAAAGATTTAAAAAGAATCGATGATGAATCTCTTTTTCAGAGATTTAAAACTTAACGAGGTTGTAAATTTGTATCATTTTTAGATGGCATCGAGACCTGTTTCGTGGATCCAAATTGCATTGTTAAACAGGACTTTACCTTTGACGATTCCTTTAATGCTTGCTATGGAGACATGTACATAAAAAATTCGACATACAACCCTGGGAAATACGTGGGCATTATTCTGTGTAGTCCAACAAGGTATTCTGAAGGTAGCAGAGAAATAAAGGAGAAAAATGTAGATACACTTATGCAATATGGCATGATAAAAGAATAGTATAATTTATTTCAGGTATCATCTGTTTTTGAGTGATGATATAGATGGTATGTTTTATAACATCGCTGATGGGTCCGGATCCGGTGATGACCACTGTGAACTGATCGGAGGTACTTCCTCCACTGCTGTAGAATCCCCGGATTATCAAGACAGTCCTGATATACAAGGTGCATAGTAGCAGTACTTCTTATATCGAACGTTTATCTCTGCCAAAACTTTTATTTGGGGCATGGAAACTCATTCAGGCACAGAATCGATTTTCTTTAATTTTAAATGAAAAATAAATAAACCAATAACCTATAAGTTTTATGTTAACAGGCAACTACAGAATAAACATTTAAACCCTCTCAGATAAAAATGCAATATTATGTTTGGTACCTATTGATTAAGAACATGAGTCCTCTATTATTTTTCAGGTTTCTATCGGTCGAGCATGAACCAAGCCTTTTCTTTCGGGGATATTGGTTATCTTGGTCCGTCCTATAACTGGTTTGGCACATGGTTAGAGTGTGGTGTTACCATTCCTGGAGACTTCACTGTATACTGAAGATTAAGTTGTTTTATTAACAGTAAAACGTAACCAAAGATATTGTCAGGGGAAATTCAAGGAACAAAATTGCTTTTACAACCATTTGAAGACCTAATATTAATAGGATTACTAAAATTTAAATGAAATTTTTTCGGATGTGTTTTCCATACAGTAGCAAAACGTGACAGAGAACTCAACAAAACTTTTCTGACAATTTAATGTAATTAACTTATTAGTCTTTAGATTTGGTTAGTTGTAAATTGTTTGTGCATGTAAGTTCATTATATTTTTACACTTCGAATTTCTTATTTAAAATGAAAACTATTTTTAAACTAAATATTTTATTTTTTTAAAATTTGATTTAGCAAGTATACAGTTAAAATAAAATTCTCATTGGTTTGCAATTAAAATGTCTCTAATACTTTTAGATGGAATAATATTTCTCATTTATATATATATATATATATATATATATATATATATATATATATATATATATATATATATATATATATATATATAAACAATGCCATTTTGTAAACAGGCGTATCCCCTCATATTGACATCAGCACTTTTCTACACTCATGGGAAAAAAGGCACTCAAGAATTTAATCTGGCAAAAGACTTAACTTGATATAAAGTTGTCAAAATAGTGCCATCTATCTCTTAAGATGCCAAATTAAATGAAAATTTGACCAGCTTAGGTTTGTAAATCGTTTAGAACTAACAAACAGAATTGTGAAATGGAGGATAAGTTACATGTAGAAAGGTTTACCTCAGCTGAACTGACAGTACACAAAATTTTAAAAACGCTTTCAAACCTCTGAAATCATTGTAGGCAAGGCACCAGCATATTTTCTTTCAGTTTATAAAAAATAAAGTATTTTAATGATTTTTTTTCTCAAATGTATTCTCTCTAGAGGCCTATTTGTTTTATTTTAATGAAATGGAATGAAAAATTGTCGATTAATTACAATACACTACTACCATTACTGTAAACGTCTTCTTGTATGTCATTACTGTAAATTGAAGCAGTGTTCGAATAAAACTCATCCTCCTCAGCAATAAAAGTATTTGTTTCCTTTCTCTTTGCAGATATTTCTTCCCAATTTCCGTATTCGTTACTATTTGTGTCTATATTACCATGTACACTCTTGTTTTCCTCGGAAATCCCTCGAAGATCTTTTTCTGCTCGAATCTTTTTCTTGACACCAGATTTTCTTTTAGATTTATCAGTATCTGAAGTATGTTTGCTTTCAAGATTTTTTACATCATCTTTATCAACATCAAGTTTATCTCCATTTAAACTGTTATCATTCTTAGCATCTTCATGCAGACTCACACAATTTTCAACTTTTAGATTACCATAGTTTTCCACAGTTTCGCTGACAATATCCTTATTTTCATTCATTGTGACCTCAGTGCTTGTCGGAGTAGTTTTCGAAGTGTTGTATACGGTATCCCCTAAAATTTCAAACTTTTTTGGAATTAATCCACATTTGCTGTATCCTTTATCTTCATGACTGACAAAGGAATACACATCTTTTTTCTGTGTAGTGGAGGTATTCGAACCCTCATGTAGATGATTGTAAATTCCATTTTCTTTGGTTTGGTTTCTCTCCCTATTCTCTCCATGTTTGTTACTGTTTTCGTTGTTACGATTAAGGGAGGACTGTCGATTTCCAGGAATGGGCGTAGATAAACCATTAGAATCCTTCTTCTTTATATAACCTTGTTTTCTTTTTTGTGGGCTTAAAGCTACATTCATGTCTGAAGTTGACGCATTCGATTCCTGTGGCAGGACAGGGGCATGTGCACTTTGGCATCCTCTGTAACAGCAAATGAAAACATGGCGACAAAAATATATGTTTTTCCAAGTTTTCCAATTCACAAAAGCAGCATTATTTTACAGGTTGATTATTTGCTTTATCTCATATAAACTGGATGCATTACATTTGTAAAGATAATGAAAAGTTTTTAAAACAATTATTAAAAAATATTACTTCTGGCGAACAAGAAATCCAGCAAGAGCTATGACAACGAAGACTAGAACTCCTATACAGACGCCCATGGCTACGGTGGTAGCGAGGCTGGTTCCTGAAAGTACGTGAGCGTATTGGTAGCAAAGATCTAGTTGTTAGTATTCCAATGTATTACTTTTCAAAGAAACTTCATAATTATAATAAGAATGTTTGAACAAAGATATCATACGAGGGTTGTTCATAAAGTTGGGGAACAATGACGTGTTTTGTCAAAATGAATGATCCTAGATATACTTAATGAATACCAAAATATTTGTTTTTAAAATACAAGTCAAAATAGTTTCGTTGTTTGAACTTAATATTTTCGTAAAAATATCGCAGTCTTGCGACCTTTAAGATCGCAGGTACCTCCAGGGCTTAAAATGCCATAAACTTTGAAATAAAGTGTTCCGATTAAAATTATTTTCTTTATAGAACAAGTCAAATCTTTATAAAATTAAAGGTGTCGCAAATACAGCGGCTATAGTTATTTTCTTATAGCTTTAGTATCGCTTACTATACAGACAGTGAAAATATTAAGTAAAAACTGCCAGAAATATATTTAAAAAATTGACAGAATAAGCGACGTCGGCCATCCGAACAGAACAGCGTCCGGTCATAAAATTATGTTTTAATATGGTTGAAACGACACTAGAAAGAACATTCAAACAAATTAAAATTTATTGACGTTTACGATTTTTAACTGTGTGTACAATTTTGTAGACACTACAAGAAGTGAAAAACCACTGTCATTTGATGAAATAGGATATTCCTATTCGTGAGGTTTTTATAAATCTATTGCAACGTAGGACTTGGCTGCACAGTCTGCATATCCGAAGTGGTTATACTGATGGATCGTGAATTGGATTGAATTTTAAAAATTAAATCAATTACGGTCTATACATAAAAATTACTGCTCACATTTGGCAGTGTGGCATAATATAGAAAATATAGTGTGTATACATGAATATGTGATAAAAATTCAAAATCCATATTTTTGACATTATCATAAAATTAGCTTTACGTCAGACTGCGGCTTGCATATACAAAGTATTTGAACCCATTATGTTGCTAAAATAGTGTGTTTTCATTTTTATACTTTTACTAAATCATGTTTTATATTAAAATATTATCGGAAATATTACCAGTGGGGTCATTATTAAGAAAATCATGGCATTTGTCCACGAACTTTATGGACAAACCTCGTATATTCTTTCCAAGTAAAGAGGTTTTGCGAGGGTGGACAAGTTTTCGGTACATTAATGATGCATTAACTTGTAAATTCAATGTAACACAAAAACACTCTAGTAAAGAAAATCAATCAAAGTTTATTTGTATGAAATAGTCTAAGTTATCGCAATTTACGCTTGTGTTTACGAATATAAAAATTTTAAAGTGCACGGTTTCCAAGACTGTTGACATGAAAGTTAATTGCAGAAAGTACCGGTAATATGTATCCTCTTATTTCAATATTGATTTAAGTAAGCAAATTCTTACTATATGACAAAAGACCCTTTTTGATGTCATGGTATTCTGAATGGTCAGTTTGTCCGAGAGTTGACATTCCTAAGCAAATAAAAAATGTATAAGAAATATCAAAGATGTTGGATTATTAAAAATATAAAGCAATTCTGAAATTTGTGTTAAACTTAATCAAAATTATTTGTAAAATATTAAAAAAAAGTTTTCGATGAAATGTATGGAGATAATGAACAGTATTCAAGCTCAAAAGTCCATTAAACAATACAAATTTTGGAGCAGAGCAAACACGGACCTCTAAAACATCAGAGGTGGAATCAGGTGCAATGGAGGAGTGAGCATCCCCTGCCGACCGGTCACACCCGCCATGTGCTCCTTGTCATAATCGGGTAATAACAGAAAAATTCGTCGACAATTCAGTGTTTAAATAATGGCCTTACAATTAGTATGAAAAACGTCAGTCAGCATTTGACTTAATGATAGATTGTATTTGCTGACAAGGTCATTGTATCGACCATTGAACTTACGAAATGACGACTATTAATGTCGATTATGATCATGATAAATGACGATTAAATTAGATTTTTTTTCATTCACTATTATACCTTGTTCAAAAAATTCATATGAAACATTGAATCCTTTAAATTGACTCCCCTGATTTCCCCGTGAGACGAAACGCAAAGTGATCGAGTGTCCGGAGCTCAGGTATTGAATCAGCTCATCTTTGTCTTGCTTTCCGCAATGAATGTCATCATGAGAGCCGACATAGCCAGAATCATGGATCTACAACACGTTCAACTTAAATTTGCAGAAGAAGAGGAAATTGTATTTTAAGATAGTTAACTTAAGTTAATGTTAATTTGAAGTACCTCCACTCGGTCACCGCCACATTTCTTGTCGTTTGTCGATTTACCGACATCAAAGTCTTTAAATGTAAGGTTGATATGTTGTCCGATAGGGGCAGTGATTATGTAGAAACACGTTTGATTTATGAAATATTTATCTGGATAACCTGGAGATGTAAACGTTCCATTTTCTCCGGTAAATGTCTGGTTGCATGCTTCAAAATAACATTTTAAAAGATTGAATACTTAGAAGTAAATTTTCTTGTCATTAAGCATGATAATATTAATCATAATACAAATTTAAAAAAAAAAAGTTACACAGTTGATTTTAATTCATTGCGGACCAAAAGTGGTCAGATTGTGACTTTGTGGAACTGTATTTTCGTTCAAAATGTTTTTAAATAACTTTTTATTAGTTTTTTTTATATTGATAATATTAAATACTTAATGATTTAAACATGACTGGAATTCTTTTTTAATTACAAAGATTTAATAAAATTAACATGAATATTGGGTTTACGGCCTAGAGTCCTCTCAAAATTCTGCTCTCACCTTCCCAGTGTACTTGAAGACGGCACTGTTGTCTTGTGTTGTTTTGGGGGAGGTACGACATATTTACAGGACTAGGGAAGTGGAATATAGTTGTATTTAAATCAGTAAGATTGTATCTGTAGTCATCTATCTGAAAATTCAAAACTTATGATAAAATATGAATAGCAACCTTTTATTGGAAAAAAAATAAATAAAATATAACCAAAGAAATCGTGTAAAATGAATCATGGGATTTTGAGAAGAAATATTTCTTATATTTATAGTTTTTGCATGGAGGAAGTATATCGCACAACTATGGAATGTTATTATACCTAGTGTAGGTACTTATAATTTGAATTTTACATATAAAACAAAGGATAAATCTGACTATTTTCTAATTCATTACCATAAACCCTTCTAGACAGTCATTATTTGTGATTATAAGGTACAGAATATAGCTGTCGGTATCAGAGGCATCCAGTATCAGGGGGCAACTGGTATTCAAATATTCGTACAATACTAAATCGACAAAGGTCAAACCACGTCTTGCCTTTTCCACGGTACCACAAGCTGTAAATTAAAATAAATACTGTAGTTATTTCTTTCTAAGTAATAAATTAACGCCGGAATTACTATTAAGTAAAAAAAAAAGAAGAATTTAAAAAATAATAAAACATAATGATTAAAAAATAAATATATGGTATATATCACCCACTTATGACAAAGTTTGGCATCCATTACATAGAGATGAATTTGCATTTATTTATTATAATAATCAAAATAATATGAATCTATAGATTTTATTAACCATCTAGATTGACAACTATCATATTTCTGCGTCCACAAATACTGTAAATAACATTTTATTAACGAGAACTTTATTTTAGCGTACTTATGCGAAACCGTCTGTTCGCAAAAAAATTATTCTCGCGTATATTTGTATAATCATAGGTTATAATAATAATAAAATTCGTGAAAATGTGGTCTCGCTTATTGCTATTTATTAACTATCTCGCGAAATAAGGTGTCGCAAGAATTTGGTGATCTAAAATAATACAAAATACTGTCAGTAACAAAGAGTAATTTCATCATTAACCGCTGAAATGTTTCTAGTAGTGGTAACTACAATGCTTAATTATATGTTGGTAGATTTATCAAGATTTTATGTATAATAAGTGGCTATGGCATCCTCAGAAGAAGTTAAACTTACCAATCCATGTTAGAGAAGGAGAATCGGACATCAATACAGACAATGGTATTTCTATTTCAACATTTCCAAACGTCTTCAGGAAATTTGATGTGTGGTTGCACAGTTGTATGGTTTTATTTTCAGTGATACTCAGCTGAAACAAACACACATACCATGAGATATAATTCACGAGAGTTTTTTTTTCATCATATGATTATCGAAATTCAGCAAATCTAGATATAGATTATATAACGAATGATCTTTTTTCAAATAACAAAATGTACCATTGTTACGTTTAACGTTATTACTCAGTATTCGACAAATAATGAAGAAGGTAAAGATAACGAACACTGATCGATTTAAAAAAAATCTATACATAAATGATTTAAACTTACCTTTACAGATTTGTTGCAATAATCAGAAAAATTGTTGTTGGAACGGATAGTGATATTCCTTGGAGTAAGGTGGCCGATTCTCCACAGACACTTTTCTGAGATACTTTTGTCACCACTGAGTTTAAATCCCTTGATTTCTCCCGAATACCCATCAAAATATCCTCCACATTCTTTAGATTGGTTTAATACGAATAAAAAAATCATGTTAAGTTAAACTTTTGTACAAAGAAATTAAACTCAGGAAAGATTTTAAAGGATAGCTTTTTATGCATAAGTAATAATTCATTTGACACTTTTGCTTGTTGTACATAAATAATATTCAAATTCATATACACATTAGTTACTTCTATGAAATATTATGCAAATAAGAATATTGTGACTTTATAATTAACCTTTTCAACTTCAAGTATAATATTGACTACAATGTGTGAAAAAAATCCCACATAAATTAGAATTCAAAGGAACATGATATGAATGGGGTTTCATACCTGTAAATTCAATATGAAATCTAGCATTGGAATCATCCTGGTTTCCGTTGGTGTGAAACATGATGAAAGCCCTGTTGCCAGACAACAATTTATGGTGGTGGTATTTGTCACCGCAGTAACGCTGCGTAGTACTGGTTGTACTACTGACATCCGTAATCTTCAATTGATAATAATTTGATAATATATTAGTATAGGTTCTAATATAATTTTCTATTGCCTCCCGTATTGGGAAAATTAATACTTAAAACAATTTAAATCACTCACCTGCAAGTAGTCTGTACAAATTCCATTGTTTCTTTCAGGCAATGATACATTGTTCAAGACGAGCATTATACGACTGTTTTTCTGCGTATTAATAGAGTACCGACAGGAAGAAGCCAGTGTGTTGGTAGGATTAAGTATTTGTCCCTTGTGGTAGAAAACACTCTGACCACAACCTGTCGATACAATGAATAGTTATAACTATAGCTGTCTACATTATTTACTAGTATCTGATCATAAGAGTAAATGTAAATGTGAAATAACAAATAGCGATTAATCACTTAAATCCAGTAAACAAAGCGAATCGTGAACAGGGTAAAACACCAAAAACGCCTGGAAACACCAGGTAGGGGATCAGAGGCCTAGGAGGCATCCCCTTTTGACAGGTCACTACCGCCGTGAGTCCTATGTATTGACCAGGTATACGGAATACTCTAAATTCAAATTAAGTACAAAAGCAATGACCTAACAAATGGTAACAAACATGTCAGAGAAAATACGAACCAACGGTAGGTTGTATTTACAAAGTCATTAAAACGACCGTAAATTTTGCGAAAGGCTGACGGGGATTGTTGAAATCCTTGTAACATCAACTTATTTGTCAGTAGCTTGCCTCGATTTAAAAATTAATCATACACAAAGCATGCTAATATGGTTAAACATATGGGTATTAATTTTGTTGTTTCCTTATGTCAATGAGAAGTTCATTACTGTTTTTAAACAATCAGTCATAATAAACTTAATCTTATCTTTCTACATTTAAGAATAATATTTTTTGATGTAAGAATTGAACATTTAAAAATAGATATACAAACGTTTGATGCTCTTATTAATATAGTAAATACATGTATGATAATTTTGTCAGCTGAGATATTACCTTCTCTTGGTAAAGCTTTTCCAGAGAAATTAATCTTTAAAGCTGATCCTGTGGAAAAAAGCCTGAGCATTATCCTATTGGTTGATATGTGTGTGATGTCACCCCTAGAATTATTGCAGTACTGCTTTAAAAGTTGACCTTCTCCTTCTACGTCATATAACTGAAAGTTAAATATAAAATAACAATATTCATGTTATTACTTTAACAAAAATATTTCATACCGTTTAACAAAATAAAACAATAAGCTCCATAAGACTATCTTTGTATATTAAAGAACAAAGAATTTTTAGATAAACTCATTGAGAAAGTTGAAAAAAAAATTGAACATATTTTTATTCACTTTCAAATCAAACCTGTAGAAAGTCTTTTTCACAGTTTGTTGTGGTTAGGGAAAAGTCTGTAAGAAGAAAATCAAATTTTTCAGCCGGTTTCCTTTCCAGTAGAAATAAACAATCCACATTAACAGGTGCGCCACTCTCATTGGAGGCTGAAAAGTTCACGGTATTATTGAATATCCCACCGCAGTCTACAGGAAAGAAAGAAAAACACAAAAGGATTACTATATTTCTGAAATTCTTTTCACAAAATAAAACTTTATGGATATTTTAAATTCTATATTTGGGTCACAATTATTATTATCATGCTTAAATCAATGAAAGCCTCTGAGAACTTTTGACGTAAACTGTATATCTATATGGTTCTCTTCGAGAGGTTGGCTTGTTAACGGTACTTGTAACTTTGTACCCATCATAATCATTATTTTAAAGAATGAAGACATTTAATTTCATGGGGACGAAAATTAATTAATCTCAGTCTTTAAACTCATTCAGATTTCTATACTTACATGACCAAGACACGTTTAGAATCATCGGAGAGTTGTAAAATCCACCAGAAATAGATTGGTATTCTAATTCGATGTAGGATGTGTTCATAATTCTGAATGTTGTGACATTACTGTATGTACCAACTATGTTTTTAATCTCTGATCTTCTGTCTCTCACCTTGAAATAAACACTAGAAATAATAAGACTGTTCATATAGATAATAGTTTATAATTATTTTTATGACCCCGTATCGAAGATTCGGGTGTATATAGTTTTTGCCCTGTCCGTCCGTCTGTCTGTCTGTCTGTTTGTCCGCAAAAACTTTAACATTGCCCATAACTTTTGATTGGTTGGAGCTATGGCTTTCATATTTCACATATGTATTCCTCGTGACAAGACCTTTCTTTGGGTACCACCATATTTGACCTTTTGACCTTGGAGTCTGACCCATTTTTTCAAAATTTTTCCCAACTTTAACTTGGCCATAACTTTTGAACAATTGGTGCTAGGGCTTTCATACTTCACATGTGCATTCCTTGTGACAAGACCTTTCTTTGGGTACCACCATATTTGACCTTTTGACCTTGACATTGGAGTTTGACCTACTTTTGAAAAACTTTAATATTGGCCATAACTTTTGAACAGTTAGTGCTAAGGCTTTCATACTTAGCATATGTAATTCTTGTGACAAGACCTTCCTTTGGATACCAACAACTTTGATCCTTTGACCTTGACCTTGGAGTTTTCTTACTCTTCATATATAATCCTTGTGACAAGACCATCCTTTGGATTCCAACAACTTGGACCCTTTGACCTTGGAGTTTGACCTACTTTTGAAAAACTTTAACCTTGACCATAACTTTTGAATCGCTGATGCTAGAGCTTTCATACTTCACATATGTAATCCTTGTGATAAGACCTTTCTTTGGATACCAACAACTTTGACCCTTTGACCTTGAACTTGGAGTTTGACTTACTTTTGGAAAACTTTAACCTTGGGCATCACTTTTAAACCGTTGATGCTAGGACTTTTATACTTCACATATATAATCCTTGTGACAAGACCTTCCTTTGGATCCAACAACTTTGACCCTTTGACCTTGACCTTTGACCTACTTTTCGAAAACTTTAACCTTTTGAAAAGTTGTTGCTAGGGCTTTCATATTTAATATGTTTTTTCCTTTTGACAAGACCTTCCTTTGGATACCAACAATTGTAATCCATTGACCTTGACCTTGGAGTTTGACCTACTTTTGAAATACTTTAACCTTGATCATAACTTTTGAACGATTGGCGCTTCAGCTTTCATATTTCACTTATATATTTCTTGTGAGAAGGCCTTTCATTAGGCACCATTAATTTTTACCATTTGACCTTGATGTTTGAATTACTTTTGAAAAACTTTAACCTTTTCCATATCTATTCAATAGTTGCTGCTAGGGCTTTCATATTTACAGGTATATTCCTCGAGACAAGACCTTACTTTGGGTACCAACATATTTGATTTGCATTTGAGAAAGTTTAACCTTTGCTAAAAGTTGCCATATGGGGCATTGTGTTTCACAAACACATCTTGTTTGTATGGCTTTTCAAAGTCCATTCTTTAGTTAAAAATAAATTGTTCTCCATGTTTACAAAAATGTTATAGTTTCAATTTCACCATAGAAATTCTACGATTTAAAGCCTGAAAGAAAATGTCGTAATAAAACAGTGTGTTAAACATTCGAAACAACTTTCAAAGGAGACAAGTATGTGCATTTGGAAATATGCAGCTTGAGTATAATTGATTGATTTGTCATAATTCAAATTAAAGTGCAGTTAAAACACCATATTTATAGTATATCTTAAAATATCAGAAACTGTCTACAAACACTTGTTTCTATGTTTGATTTCAGAAGAAGGAAAGTTTCGAGATCTCACATATTATCAGGAAAGACTCCTTTTTATGGAGATACTTTAAGTCTTTTTTGAGATGGAATGGTCGGCAGGGGATGCTCATTCCTCCATGGCACCTGATGCCACCTCTAAATTTTTAAGTCAGTGATTGCTCTGCTCCAAATTTGTATCGTTTCATTGGACTTTCGAGATTGAATACTGTTCGTTATCTTCATATTTCATTCTTTTAAAAGTCGGTATAGATGTAAAACACAAGCAGTTTAGCAAGTTGGCTATTTTTTTATACAAGGTATATTTCTAGGATCATAATTCACTTACAATAAGCGTCTCGTTTTCCCTCAGAATAACCCTCTTTATTTTGAGATCAATAGAATAATACTTTGGTAATTCAATGGTGTATTTGCAGACAACGGATGTAACATGGAGCTGTTCTTTTGGAAACTGGAGGAATATGTTGCCAACGAGATCGGTGAAACTTCTATTACATTCTACAAAGAAACCAAAATATAATAAATAGATTATATCCAACTGTATATTGTATGTGTATTTCATGCAAGTGAAAAATATTGGAGGTTTAGGAATTAAAGATCCTTGGCTAACCACAGTTATAAGTAAGCCCTAGTGAACGCATAATAAAGATACATTTCAGTTTTTTACCGTATCTTGAAATATGGAACAAATCTAACGGTGATGAGATGTTTAATCTTATATAGACTGTTGTTTCTGTTAGAATGGTTATGTTGTTACATGTAGTGGAACAACTTGTTGAATTCCAGAAAGATTCTCCAAAGTCTTCATACTTTGACATCTTCAATGAAAGAAAAGAAAATAAAAAGCAGTAACCCAAGAAATTATTGACCCATTGAAAGGAAAATAAATGTTGTCCCAATGATAATCATAAATTGGGTGCGATCCTAGTGCAAAAACTGGGCAAAAAATAAATAAAATTTTCATTTCATATCTTAAATATATCAATCAAATCATTCAATCATTAAGAAATGAGACGGGATGTTTTGGTCATTTATTTTGTATGAAATGTTATCCGATTTTTCTTGAAGTTCTTTTGGTTGAATAGCAGGGTTAGTGTATAGAAATCTTCATTTAAAAGAACTTCATCTCGGTATATAGCTATGTCTAACAAAATTCAGTTAGGAGTTTCTTATAGCTATGTCTAACCAAATTCAGTTAGGAGTTTCTTATAGCTATGTCTAACCAAATTCAGTTAGGAGTTTCTTATAGCTATGTCTAACAAAATTCAGTTAGGAGTTTCTTATAGTTATGTCTAAACAAATTCAGTTAGGAGTTTCTTATAGTTATGTCTAAACAAATTCAGTTAGGAGTTTCTTATAGCTATGTCTAACCAAATTCAGTTAGGAGTTTCTTATAGCTATGTCTAACCAAATTCAGTTAGGAGTTTCTTATAGCTATGTCTAACAAAATTCAGTTAGGAGTTTCTTATAGCTATGTCTAACCAAATTCAGTTAGGAGTTTCTTATAGTTATGTCTAAACAAATTCAGTTAGGAGTTTCTTATAGCTATGTCTAACCAAATTCAGTTAGGAGTTTCTTATAGCTATGTCTAACCAAATTCAGTTAGGAGTTTCTTATAGCTATGTCTAACCAAATTCAGTTAGGAGTTTCTTATAGTTATGTCTAAACAAATTCAGTTAGGAGTTTCTTATAGTTATGTCTAAACAAATTCAGTTAGGAATTTCTTATAGCTATGTCTAACAAAATTCAGTTAGGAGTTTCTTATAGTTATGTCTAAACAAATTCAGTTAGGAGTTTCTTATAGTTATGTCTAAACAAATTCAGTTAGGAGTTTCTTATAGCTATGTCTAACAAAATTCAGTTAGGAGTTTCTTATAGCTATGTCTAACAAAATTCAGTTAGGGGTTTCTTCTTCGGAGTAAGACTCTCACATACATTTAATAGTCCTGACACTGTATCAGCAAATCATAACTTACAATGCCATCATGAGAGCATGCTCCTTTGAAAATGGTAATCAAAAGGGTTCCTTCTGTTGGTTTTATTCCCCAGGCACAATGGGTAGTGTTTTGTTCAATAACAGCAACTGTCGAACTATTTCCAAAGTCAACTTGCGAGCAATTCAAATATCCTGGAAAAAAATTGGTAATCTGATACTAAAACCAACAACTGAACACACACACACACACACACACACACACACACACACACACAAATCTCAATTTTTTGAGGTTATAATCCATTTAGAATAGAGGTTTTATGTATATCTTGAAGCCTGGTTCCCATTTATTTTTGTTTTTTTTTTTGTTCTTAAACACTGAGTTTGTTCAATTTATATGAGGCCTGGATCTTCTTTGTTAATTCCCTATTATTCAAGTCAAATTATATTGTTCAGCTACAACGATTTTACTCACAGCTTCCTGATAAATAATCGATCTTGCTGATATTTGCAAGCACCCACATTACTGAATTAAAAAGCCTAGGGGTGGGGTCCAGAAATATCTTCTGTACTCAAGAACGTCTTGCAAACAGACTGTTTGTATCATTATAAGGAACAACTGGCCCCATACCAAATGTATGCCTCGTGGTTCCAGGGCTTGCGCCCCAGGTTTGGGGATAGTTGGTTATTTAAAATTCATTACATTTTTGGAAATCTTTTTTACTTTTGGACAAGCTGTACGATTTAATAGTGAAATCCGTCCAAAAAAGCGGCTAAGCTGATCTTGTATTAGAAATACTTTTGCTCTTTGAATATTCTTTACTCCAGTATATCTTTCAAACTAAATTGAATTCATCATGAAATGCTATATTAGCCCTTTGACAAATTTGTGAATTTCCTGTCCCTTGAGTTGGGTCCCAGAGTGTGGCTAAATGGCTGAACTACTGAAATCACCCTAGAGAAATCCATTTACATTTGAGCATTTAACAGACAGGATTTCTGCGTTGTGTTGGGGATATGTTAAAGATTATGCAATTATATAATATATGAAACCTCTAAGAAGAATTTTTAAAATCATTTTCCCATCAACAGTCATCATGCGGTCCTATCCTGAAGTAGGAATGATATGTTTTTCAAAAGGAAAAACATGTTTATCAAATCATTGAACTATCGAGTAACAATGACAAAATTATCGAATAACATTTTTTGCGTAAGAATTACAATTTATCGATTAGGAATCACATTTTTTGAATAGGAATTGTATGTTTTAGAATTAAAAAAAAACAAGATTTTTGAATAGGAATAACAAAAATGTATAATAATGCAACGTTTTATACGCCATATCTTACTGTGTTATAGAAAGCATGTGTATTATTCTGTCAGACACATCACTGCAACATTTCATCCATGAACTTAAAAAGAGCATTGTCAGAGTACTATGGAGTAGCTACAGGAATGTCATTTACATCAACAGATTTAATTTTCGTATTCAAGAAACACTAAACAAGAAGCCATGATTTAGATTGTGAATATTTACAAATTTTAAAATTATGAGTTCTTTATACTTCAAGCATGAATGTCACCAATGGAGAAATAAGGAAGTATGCTCTCAAAATAAGGTCTCCTTCTTGAACAGAAATAAACTGTATTAAAATGCTTTAAACTATTTAACATTAATGCAGTTTTATGCAATACAACTTTATTTCAATATGTAATGGTGTTTAGAAACAAGGAAGAGGTTCGGGTTCAATTTATAATTTAGTTCCGGTAGTTTGAATACAAAGTGTAATCTTATCTGCAAATCAGAAGTACACAATATTCCTCAAAATAGCAATACATTTTAAAGCTTTTAACTGTTTAAAAAACACTACGCTGAAGCAGTGAAACGCCCTGATATCGTCAATCGATAATATGATATGCATCCCTAAACAAGAGATGCTATCTGTCCCCTATACATGCAACATAAATTATGTTACGTAACTTGCGAGAAAAGTATGTCATTATGCCTACGTGCAAAATAATCAGGTTGACATACAGGATACCGATCTTTTTAAAGAATCTGATTTTAATATTGGTAAATTTACTTACTTACGCTGGCCAGTATATGACATCATACGCCCAAGATGCAACATTATACATTCATTAACTGGGTTCAAGGGCAACATGCGTTTTACATAGGCACTCCCCATCTTAATTGTTAAAAAATATATATCTACCTTGTTATGTTTACTTTATAGTATAGTATAGATATATATATTTTTTTAACAATTAAGATGACTGTTTACCTGAAGTACGGCCTCATGCAAACAGTTTGGTTCGAGGGGTCGAAAACACCCCCGAGAACACAGTCAATAAATGTTTTGTTATACATGTACCTTTTACTTTTAATTTTGCCATATCTTGCTCTTGCTTCCATGTTTGCTATAATTGATAAAATATAGCTGATCCCGCATACAGTGTGATGTAAAAAACGTCATAGCGGTTCAATATCTCATCGACAGGTCAAATATCTCACTCAGCTGTCCAAAATCGATACTTTTTTTAGGACCGCTCAGAAATTCATTGGAAATGTTAGACTATTTTTAGTATAAATTTATATGATTGCGCCCATGAGAAAAGGGTGCTTATGGCATTTTTACTAAAACAGAGAAATAACGTCATAAAGATGTGACGTTGCAGAGTGACGGTGAACGTCAACGCAGATTTTTTTTTTACCACATGTTTACGTTTTGAAACTAACTTTTGCCGTAAATGTGAATATTGATAATAAAAATTGAATCATCGGTGCATGTTGCATAAACATTTGTTGTAAATTGTTTTATGCGATGTATTCTGAAAGGAAAAAGAAACGCAGGGTAAACTTTCTAGGTGAAACAAGGTTACATATTTCAGACGTATTTTCCAGTTTTCCTTTCTAACATTTAAAATCATCTTTAATAAAAATGTAACCAAAATCTCATTTGATTTTCCCCAATAATTCATGAGTTATTGAAACTCATATGACGATACCCCCCAAAAGTGAAAAATGAAAATTCTCATTATCTCACATGTCTCCCTCGCGCATCTGTCACAACCTTGATTCTCCTATGCATGGAGTTCATCAGTGTGTTTATCCTTCTAATAGGGATATTATTCAACCCTTCCGAGAAGGCAGCCCTTAATTGATTGAGACCAGCTTGGACATTTTAGTCATAAGTTTGTATCAAAGGTAATGAAATGTGCATGAAAATAACAAACTATAATCAAGCTCAGAAGTCCATTAAACAATACAAATTGAAAGCATCTCTAGCAAACATGCATGCACGGACCACTGAAAACACAACAGTTAGGATCAGGTACCACTAAAGAGTAAGTATACCCATGGTGACCGGTCACTCCCTCGTGAGCCTTCGTCCTAATTGGGGTAGATAAAGTAACCCGTAAATAATTCAACGTGAAAATCATGGTATTACAATTTGTATTAAATACATCAGTCAACATTCAATCTAATGACGTGTTGTAGTTAGAAGTTGCAAACAAGGACATTTTATCGACCATAGAATTTTGCAAAATTTCAACTTTTAACGAATTCACTGATACTCTTGTAACATCAATTTATTTGTAAGTAGCTTTCCTCATTTCAGAAATAATTTGTACGCAGAACATGTTCTTGCGTATCAAATCACCCTATTTGCGGGTGAAATGGTACTTCATATTGCTAGATAATAAGGGGAGTTGAGAACAGACAATTCAAAACCACCGCGTTTATCATAAAGTTGAGTTACTGTACGTGTACATAAACTGACGTATTCAAAATTTAACACATCACTAGATATTGAGTGGTTGGCTTAATCATGAATTAACGTTACAAACATCCGCGCCATATATTGTATTTATTTATGA